GCAGGATGGGTGGATGCAGCTGCTTCAATCACAGCAGGATGGGTGGATGCAGCTGCTTCAATGACAGCAGGATGGGTGGATGCAGCTGCTTCAATGAGAGCAGGATGGGTGGATGCAGCTGCTTCAATGAGAGCAGGATGGGTGGATGCAGCTGCTTCAATCACAGCAGGATGGGTGGATGCAGCTGCTTCAATGAGAGCAGGATGGGTGGATGCAGCTGCTTCAATGAGAGCAGGATGGGTGGATGCAGCTGCTTCAATGAGAGCAGGATGGGTGGATGCAGCTGCTTCAATCACAGCAGGATGGGTGGATGCAGCTGCTTCAATCACAGCAGGATGGGTGGATGCAGCTGCTTCAATGACAGCAGGATGGGTGGATGCAGCTGCTTCAATGAGAGCAGGATGGGTGGATGCAGCTGCTTCAATGAGAGCAGGATGGGTGGATGCAGCTGCTTCAATGAGAGCAGGATGGGTGGATGCAGCTGCTTCAATGAGAGCAGGATGGGTGGATGCAGCTGCTTCCCAGAGAGCAGGATGGGTGGATGCAGCTGCTTCAATCACAGCAGGATGGGTGGATGCAGCTGCTTCAATGAGAGCAGGATGGGTGGATGCAGCTGCTTCCCAGAGAGCAGGATGGGTGGATGCAGCTGCTTCAATGACAGCAGGATGGGTGGATGCAGCTGCTTCAATGAGAGCAGGATGGGTGGATGCAGCTGCTTCCCAGAGAGCAGGATGGGTGGATGCAGCTGCTTCAATGACAGCAGGATGGGTGGATGCAGCTGCTTCAATGAGAGCAGGATGGGTGGATGCAGCTGCTTCCCAGAGAGCAGGATGGGTGGATGCAGCTGCTTCAATGACAGCAGGATGGGTGGATGCAGCTGCTTCCCAGAGAGCAGGATGGGTGGATGCAGCTGCTTCAATGAGAGCAGGATGGGTGGATGCAGCTGCTTCAATGAGAGCAGGATGGGTGGATGCAGCTGCTTCAATCACAGCAGGATGGGTGGATGCAGCTGCTTCAATCACAGCAGGATGGGTGGATGCAGCTGCTTCAATGACAGCAGGATGGGTGGATGCAGCTGCTTCAATGAGAGCAGGATGGGTGGATGCAGCTGCTTCAATGAGAGCAGGATGGGTGGATGCAGCTGCTTCAATGACAGCAGGATGGGTGGATGCAGCTGCTTCCCAGAGAGCAGGATGGGTGGATGCAGCTGCTTCAATGAGAGCAGGATGGGTGGATGCAGCTGCTTCAATGAGAGCAGGATGGGTGGATGCAGCTGCTTCAATGACAGCAGGATGGGTGGATGCAGCTGCTTCAATGAGAGCAGGATGGGTGGATGCAGCTGCTTCAATGACAGCAGGATGGGTGGATGCAGCTGCTTCAATGACAGCAGGATGGGTGGATGCAGCTGCTTCAATGAGAGCAGGATGGGTGGATGCAGCTGCTTCCCAGAGAGCAGGATGGGTGGATGCAGCTGCTTCAATGAGAGCAGGATGGGTGGATGCAGCTGCTTCAATGAGAGCAGGATGGGTGGATGCAGCTGCTTCAATGAGAGCAGGATGGGTGGATGCAGCTGCTTCAATGACAGCAGGATGGGTGGATGCAGCTGCTTCAATGAGAGCAGGATGGGTGGATGCAGCTGCTTCAATGACAGCAGGATGGGTGGATGCAGCTGCTTCAATGACAGCAGGATGGGTGGATGCAGCTGCTTCAATGAGAGCAGGATGGGTGGATGCAGCTGCTTCAATGACAGCAGGATGGGTGGATGCAGCTGCTTCAATGACAGCAGGATGGGTGGATGCAGCTGCTTCCCAGAGAGCAGGATGGGTGGATGCAGCTGCTTCAATGAGAGCAGGATGGGTGGATGCAGCTGCTTCAATGAGAGCAGGATGGGTGGATGCAGCTGCTTCAATGAGAGCAGGATGGGTGGATGCAGCTGCTTCAATGACAGCAGGATGGGTGGATGCAGCTGCTTCAATGAGAGCAGGATGGGTGGATGCAGCTGCTTCAATGACAGCAGGATGGGTGGATGCAGCTGCTTCAATGACAGCAGGATGGGTGGATGCAGCTGCTTCAATGAGAGCAGGATGGGTGGATGCAGCTGCTTCCCAGAGAGCAGGATGGGTGCATGCAGCTGCTTCCCAGAGAGCAGGATGGGTGGATGCAGCTGCTTCAATGAGAGCAGGATGGGTGGATGCAGCTGCTTCAATCACAGCAGGATGGGTGGATGCAGCTGCTTCAATGACAGCAGGATGGGTGGATGCAGCTGCTTCAATGAGAGCAGGATGGGTGGATGCAGCTGCTTCAATGAGAGCAGGATGGGTGGATGCAGCTGCTTCAATCACAGCAGGATGGGTGGATGCAGCTGCTTCAATGAGAGCAGGATGGGTGGATGCAGCTGCTTCCCAGAGAGCAGGATGGGTGGATGCAGCTGCTTCAATGAGAGCAGGATGGGTGGATGCAGCTGCTTCAATCACAGCAGGATGGGTGGATGCAGCTGCTTCAATCACAGCAGGATGGGTGGATGCAGCTGCTTCATCAGAGCCAGCAGCGCCCCCTGGTGGAAGAACAGCTCGCCCAGCAGCAGTTCTAGTTAGTGTCTGATTTCTTTGACATGAAACGATTAAATGACCTTTTTATAAATAATTCAGAGACATCAGGGTAAATGTGAGGTTGAGGGTTCTAATCCTGGGTTGGTTGCTGAGAGGAACGTTGGAAGCAGAACAATCAAGGTTCCTGAGATGATTCATTACTTCAATCTGCTTCATCTCAGCTCCTGACCAACTTTAACAGGTAGCGGGTTCTTTGGGAACATAAAGCATCAATCAGGGAATCAACAGGTGAACAGAACCAGGGTCCTCTGACCAAACGGATAATAAATAAATATAAAAAACTTTAGAAAAATTCCTTCAAACAGTGTGGAAAAGACACTTTGGTTCAGTCTTTAACAGAAATATAAATATCCTTCCAGATTTTATGGATCCTTCATGACTAATGAGCTAAACGGCTCTATGGTCTGCAGGCTGCTCTCCTCCTTCAGCTGATTGTTTCTGAAGCTTCCAGCAGATCAATGACCTGCAGCTGAACTCTGATACCAGAAGCAACTGGATTTAATGAGATCATTGATGATCTGGGAGGTCAGAGGTCAGCTGGAACTCAAACAGGTCATGTGACATTAAGCAGAACATTATAATAAGAGGCGGTTCTAGGAGCAGAGGTTTAGGACAGTCAGACACCAGATTCATTTCACTGTTTTCTACACACATTTTTGGAACATTCAGTCGTTTTGCTAATGAGTGACTCCATCATTCACTGATCTGAGACATGTGCCAAAAACCCAACAAGCAAAGTAAAAGCAGCATTTTCTAGAATCAATGAAAGCTTTAAAATCAACTCATTTCATAGAAAGTTTCCATGAAATGAGTCTTTTTATAACAGTAAAATAATCTACTGAATGAAATGTTTTTTGCCAGTTTAACAGCTGCTGCTTTTCTGTCTGTTTTCCTACCTGTTTCTTTGTGGCCTTTCATTTTGCCCACACCTCTCTCCTCCTTCTACTCCTCTCCCTCTTTAGACGGACAATCAGAAAATGGATTATAAATAAAAATGATTCAGTAAATTTAAATCTTATTGTGGTTTTAAACATATTCAGACGGACTTGTCTCAGACACGTTAGAGCACCTCGCTGGTGAACGTTCCACCAACACACCATCAATAGGTGCAGAGATCTGACTGAACATTTCAGAGACACCTGAAAGTTTCTTATTATTATTCTTGTAGCATTTCGAACGCATTTTACGGGGACTTCGCATATTCAAAAACTCAGGAAAACGTGGCAGTAAATTGTCCCCCGCGTGAAATAGCCGGTCTATAATGTAATCCAAAATGGCCGCCCCCAAATTACGCCACAGCGCCCCCTAACGTGAGTTGGGGGAAACTGTAAGTCCCAGAGATCTGAACTTTGGCACACAGGTAGATCTCCTCAAATCATGAAAAAAAGTCTCTTGGAGGTATGCCCTAAAACCCACAGGAAGTCAGCCATTTTGGGTCAAAGTGCGATTTTTGGCCATTTTTCATTTTCGCTCATGTCGAACTTTAACGAACTCCTCCTAGGGATAATGAGCTATCGGCTTCAAACTCGGTTATTATGCAGTTAAGGCATTGGAGATTAAAAGTTATCAAAGGAATTTTTCTACATCAAAGCATGTGGGCGTGGCCAGGCGTCAAACTTGGTCATTAGGCAGGGAAACAAAGGGTAAGCCCCATGTCATATTATGACAGAGTTCTGAAACTTGGGCCACTTATGTAACCCCTCAGGACCTACAAAAAAGTCTCTTGGGGCCATGGTCCAAATCACACAGGAAGTCGGCCATTTTGAATCAAATAAATCCCTTTGCTTTTTTACCTTCGTGACGTGTTTGAGCGAACTCCTCCTAGAGCTTTTGAGTTACATACACTATATTGCCAAAAGTATTTGCTCACCCATCCAAATTATTGGAATCAGGTGTTCCAATCACTTTCATGGCCACAGGTGTATAAATTCAAGCACCTAGGCATGCAGACTGTTTTTACAAACATTTGTGAAAGAATGGGTCGCTCTCAGGAGCTCAGTGAATTCCAGCGTGGAACTGTGATAGGATGCCACCTGTGCAACAAATCCAGTCGTGAAATGTCCTCGCTCCTAAATATTCCACAGTCAACTGTCAGCTGTATTATAAGAAAATGGAAGTGTTTGGGAACGACAGCAACTCAGCCACGAAGTGGTAGGCCACGTAAACTGACGGAGCGGGGTCAGCGGATGCTGACGCGCATAGTGCGAAGAGGTCGCCAACTTTCTGCAGAGTCAATCACTACAGACCTCCAAACTTCATGTGGCCTTCAGATTAGCTCAAGAACAGTGCGCAGAGAGCTTCATGGAATGGGTTTCCATGGTCGAGCAGCTGCATCCAAGCCATACATCACCAAGTGCAATGCAAAGCGTCGGATGCGGTGGTGTAAAGCACGCCGCCACTGGACTCTAGAGCAGTGGAGACGCGTTCTCTGGAGTGACGAATCGCGCTTCTCCATCTGGCAATCTGATGGACGGGTCTGGGTTTGGCGGTTGCCAGGAGAACGGTACTTGTCTGACTGCATTGTGCCAAGTGTAAAGTTTGTTGGAGGGGGGATTATGGTGTGGGGTTGTTTTTCAGGAGCTGGGCTTGGCCCCTTAGTTCCAGTGAAAGGAACTCTGAATGCTTCAGCATACCAAGACATTTTGGACAATTCCATGCTCCCAACTTTGTGGGAACAGTTTGGAGCTGGCCCCTTCCTCTTCCAACATGACTGTGCACCAGTGCACAAAGCAAGGTCCATAAAGACATGGATGACAGAGTCTGGTGTGGATGAACTTGACTGGCCTGCACAGAGTCCTGACCTCAACCCGATAGAACACCTTTGGGATGAATTAGAGCGGAGACTGAGAGCCAGGCCTTCTCGTCCAACATCAGTGTGCAACCTCACAAATGCGCTTCTGGAAGAATGGTCAAAAATTCCCATAAACACACTCCTAAACCTTGTGGACAGCCTTCCCAGAAGAGTTGAAGCTGTTCTAGCTGCAAAGGGTGGACCGACGTCATATTGAACCCTATGGATTAGGAACGGGATGTCACTTAAGCTCATATGTGAGTCAAGGCAGGTGAGCAAATACTTTTGGCAATATAGTGTACTTCAAACTAACTCCACCTTGACTTGAGACATTGGGGATCAAAAGTTATCAAAGGAACTTTTCTACATCAAAGCATGTGGGCGTGGCCAAGCGTCAAATGTGGTCCCTTTGCTATGAAACACAATGCAAACCCCAGGCCATTTTTTAATGAGAGTTATGAAATTTGGTACACATATGTAACCCATCAGGACCTAAAAAAAGTTATATGGGAGCCATGGTCTAAACCCCACAGGAAGTCCGCCATTTTGAATCAAAGCCATCATTAGCTTTTTCATCTTTATATTGTATGTTAGCTAACTCCTCCTTGAGCGATTGGGCTGCAAACTTGTAACTTGCTGAGCCTCGACTTAAGACATAAGGGATCAAAAGTTATCAAAAGATTTTTGCTGTGACAAACCATGTGGGCATGGCCAAGCATCAAAATCAGACTTCCAGCAATAACAGTATGACATAACTGCCGCAGGCCCTGCTTTTATTGAGGATTATAAAATTTGGTACACAGGTACAACCCAACAGGATGCCCAAAAAAGTCTATTGGACCCATGGTCCAAACCCAACAGGAAGTCGGCCATTTTGGATTAAACATACTTTTTCTGTTTTTAAGTCATGACGTATCTCAGTGAAGGGCTTTTTGTTTTTTTTTAAGACAGAGACTTCAAATTCACTTTGCATTGACTATAATTCATAGCACATTAAAAGTTATCAAAGTTATTATTCTACATGGAAGCTTTAGGGTTTGGCTAAGCATCAAACTGTTAACTCCAGTCATACAAAGCCGTCATTTTATAACCTCAATATGGAAGGTCAACATAGTACCAGGAGGGGGAGGAGATGGAGGAGAAAGATGATGAGGAGACGCAGTGAGAGCAGCTGCAGGAGGAGGAGCATGAGAAGCAGGAGGATGAGGAAGTTAAGACGAAGCTACGGGAGGAAGAGTATGGGAAACAGTGGCAGCAGCAGAAGGAGCAAGAGGAGGATGAAGAGAAGAAGCAGCAGGGTGATGAAGAGGATGAGGAGAAGCAGCAGCAGGCATAGGCTGAAGAGCAGGAGCATAGGCTGGGAAGGAGCGTGGAGGTGGAGGTCGCTTGGTTCCCGCGGTCGCAACATACCAGGCGGTGCGAGCTGCGAGGGCCGCTCAATGCCACTTGTGGCTTTAATTATTATTATTTCTGATGAACCAAAAGTCCGTTTCATGAAGCAGGTTTAACAAACTCAGATTCTAATCTTTAACTCTAAATAGATCTAGTCTAAAGTCGGGAACTCTAGGTGTTCGGTTTTACAGTTGTTATTAATTATATTATAAGCAACAACTGTGAAAAGCTATTATCAGTGGAAACAGCTTGATCTAAGTGTTGTTACCGTGAAAATATTACCTGATTATTTCTTGAACGGTATCTATTTAGGTATCGATCACCTGTCAGCAGGTGGAAATAAAAACTTTGCTCTAATAAATGGAACCTGTTCATCATCTCATGGGTTCCTCCTCATGTTGATTCAGTCTGCTTTGACACATGGGGAATTAATGAATCTATGGCTGTGTGTTTCCTGGACGGGGCCGCCTGTGGAGCTGGTTGACAGTTGCCTTTTGTATCTATGCTTCTTTTTCTATGTCTGCTTCTGTCTCCTTGAACCCCAGTGGGCCTCAGCAGATGGCCGCTCACACTGAGCCTGGTTCTGCTGGAGGTTTCTTCCTGTTCAAAGGGAGTTTTTCCTCTCCACTGTCGCTACAAGCATGCTTAGTGTGAGGGATTGCTGAAGAGTCAATGAGTCGATGCAATCAGCTGGTTTTCCTTAGATAGAAAACTTTGAATCAATCTGACTGGATGATCTGGTGAACTGGAAAGTGACCTGAGATGACATGATGTGAATTGGAGCTATAGAAATAAACTGAATAGAATTGAATTAATCTGAAATAATTTCAGTGGTTCTTCATGTGCTGTAAATATAACTAAATAAAAACTATATCTGCATCTCGCTCATATTAAACCAGTAATCTGCTCTCTTACCCCTGAGCTGTAGAATCCTCTCCTTATGAATATTTAATCCTCTGAGAATTAATGCAGATCATTCTTTTATTAGATCCTCGTCAAACTGACGTGAAATGTTTGTTTTTAAAACATGATGTGTCTAATGGGCCTAAGGAATTATATTCTTTTTCATGCAAAACTAGGACAAAAATCTGCCTAAATCATGATATAAAGCAGCTTTACTGGCTGTAAGCAGAGCGGAGACAGAGACACTGAGTTTACTGAAGGAAACCTGCTGCTGACCAGGTTAGCTCTGGGAGGATGTTACCATGGCAACAGATACAGAGGATGAGGAAACAGAAAATTAAGAGTTTCTCTGATTTCTGTTTAGAAACCTTAAAAAGTTTTCAGTAAACCTTTCATGAAACAGAGCCAGAGCACAATTGAAAGGGTTAACTAACCAAATACTGTATGTCTTCTTTTTGTTTTGTTTTTTAAAGTAAAAAGTGCATACGGTATTAAAAAAACAACTGTTATTTTAGGGGTGCTCTGATTTAAATTAGCGTTGCTTCAGCAACCTCAAAAAGACTATAAACACCTATGCTCAGAAGCTAGAAAAGCTGTTCAACCCTGAGGCTGAACTTATTGCTGAAATTAACCTTCAAGGCACAAAGTCTGAAAAATAAAAACACTTCATCTCTACATTGGAGGAGGAGGAGTTCTCCTGGTGAACCTTCTAGCAGCAGCAGGGTGACAGCAGGCCGACCGCAGACAGCAGGAGCACCTGGAGGAGGAGCGCTCCTCCCTCTGAGGGGCTTTTACCTGCAGAAACAGAAGAGAAGCTGAATCACTGAAGGCGACATGAGAACCAACCTGAGGAGTCAAACTCTAATGCGTGTAAAGTGTAAGTAAGGTTTATATATAGCATCTTTCTCAGACAACAGCACAAAGTGCTGCACAATATGAGGCATAAAGTACAAAACAGTGCCAGATAAAATAGACGTAGACAAAATAAATACAATCGGAAAAAATCAGGGAGAGAAAAGACAATTAGAAGAAATGTATTGATACAGTTACTTTAGTCTTTGGCGCTCAGACCTCGGCAGGAAACATTAGAGCTGAATATTGATAGATATGCATGAACAGGAGTAAAGAAACCTGTCCACGATGAGCAAGCATGAAGCGACAGTGGAGAGGAAAAACTCCCCGTTGGGAGGTCAGATAGCGGTCATCTGCTGGACTGGTTGAGGTGAGACAGGGAACGCAGTGAGAGTCCAGGAGGAATGACGCTCTGATGAAGCTTTAGCTACGATGGTGGAGGGGGGGCTGGAGGGGGGTGGAAACAGGGTCATCTGAATGAAGTCACAGTTCATCCGCCGCCTGCGTACTAGGTAGGTGACAGATTGGAGGCCCTTTAAGATCAGCTTTGGATGCTGATTGGCTTTGGTGGAGGCGTGGTTCAAAGCTGATTGGCTGTGTTGGAGGTGGATGTAGAAGAGCGATCAGTTTCCTCAGTTGAACTTCCTCCTAGGCGCCATAGCAACCATAGCAAAATGGATTCAACATTAAATGATAGAAAGAGAATTTGGTCAGGAAGGGTCTTATTCCCTAATTCTGATTTTTATTGACATACTTTAAAACATCTTCACTCTTGCAGAAAACCTGCTGGACGAGGCTGAATGCAGATTTTTTCTGACGGACGCCTCAGAAGCTGTTTCCAGGTTTAAATGTTTGGGTTCTAGACTCCTTTAGACTCCAGGTTATTTCAACAAATGCTTCCGTTTGTAAAATCTATCCACTTCGCCAGGGAGAATCCAGAGGTTCTGAGTTCAACTCCCTCAGACTGCCACTATGACTCCCTGAGCAAGACCCTTAACCCCACCCTGCTCCCCGGGCGCCGCACCATGGCAGCCCACTGCTCCCCAAGGGGAGGGGTTAAATGCAGAGAGGGAAATTCTCCACTGTGAGATCAATAAAGTTCTATTATTATTATTAATCTCTCCTTGTGCTTCTTCAGCAGTGAAAACCAGTGTGACCAGAACAGGCAGGAACACTGGCAGCACCGTACATGTTCTCCATTACAAGGATTAATAGATGCTGCTGATCTAAAGTCTCTGTTAAATAAGACTAACTTTGTTTTTTTCCATCAACAGGTGTCCTTTATATTTTCACCAAGTTAATGGATATAACCAGTTTAGAGTTTCACACAGACCATAAATACGCTCTGGGCTGTTTTCTCCATCTAAACAGCCTCCATGGTGACCCTGGCTGAGGCTGCAGACCACTTCAATCACATCTACTGGGACCTGGACCACCCAGAGCCAAGGGGCCATGGAGAACAACTAATGTAGAGTCCAGATTGTTCCATCAGACTTCTCAGAAAGTTTTTAATCGTTAGTGCAGAGGATTTAGGGAATTTACTCTCAAAGTTAATAATAAAAGTTATTTATCAGCTTTCTCATCTCTAAGAATCCCTCCTCCTCCTCCAGATGTTTCAGAGACCTGCTGGGGTGACTGTAGTGAGGAGGAGCCGCCACTAGAGGGAGGTACTGTTTTAGCTTTGATGATCAAATGGTTTGTTGGCTATAATCTGGGTTAAATGACATATGCTCTGTTACAATTCCTAGGACGCATCCTTAGAAGACCGGATTCGAAGGCCGATGACGTCATAACGCAGCGCCGAGGTCTGGTCGGATTCCAAGAGTCCTCGTTATGCGGCCTAAGAATGCGTCCTTCTTTTTGCCCGATTTGAAGGACGGGTCCGATGTATCTTCGGTATTCTTGGATATCCCAGGATTCATTGCGAGACCAAGCAAGCCGTGATCAGAGGAAAGGTTACTTGGCGCCGAACAGTGGTGAAAATTGGAAGTTCAGTTTAATATAATCCAGTCATTTAATAGTTCCGTCTGAGAAGAATGAAAATAGTTGTTTTAATGGTTATTGAGTCAGATATGTGGCGGTAATGTTTGGTTTATCTAAAGGTTTTTATCTGTTACTGATTAAATGGGTTTGGCTGGAATTTAAGGACAGATTCTAATAAATCTGCAGGGGGGGGGGGGCTATAAATCTGATAGGATTTTTATCTTTTTATTGCTGTTTTGCACAATAGGCTTAACTACGTATTTTTTGTTGTTGAATATTAGAGATTTTGCAGATATGTTTTTTATAAATACATTGTTTAGATTTACTTATATCTTTCTACCCCTTTTATAGAATAGAATAGAAAATCCCTTTATTGTCCCACAATGGGCAGATTTACAGCAGCAGAAAGATTATTGAAAATGGTCACACAGATGAGGACCTTAGAAAAATGTATAAGAATAACATGATAGGGAAGAGTTAAAATATAAAATATAAAATCCTGTAAA